TATCAGTGTATACGTGTATATCTACAGAATTGTATCATACATAGATCATATATCCTGGGGTGGAAAGTCACTAAGTTCATTCACTCAGGTACTTGAGTACAATTTGGACACATGTTGTACTTATTTCCATTGCTTGCTTCTTTATAGTATTGCTATTACATTCTATATTGCGCCCAACTTGATTAATTTGACACCAAAAGTGACAGTAGTTCATACATTCAATAACAGATTGTTTGATATGATGCAGTATTAAGCTAGTACACTAACCAATAGTGAATCAAGTAAATAAAATCAGCCCCTTATAATATTCTAATATCACTGTGAAAGGAGATATTGTGCAGAATTAGTTATTTTACTTTTGTACTTAAAATAGATTCTGCTGATACTAATTCTTAACCTTGATTGAATTCAACTTTTAAATGTAGGCTTTTTACTTGCAATGGAGCATCTTTAGACTATTTCCACTTTCAATAAACTCAGAGTAGTTTGCTCCACCACTGAGTAAATCATAAAGCAACAGTTATTTGAAATAAATTGAGGTTAAAGTATTAAAACGTTTTGATCTATCAGAGAGTAGCCAGCTGAGAGGAAATGTGAGACTTCAGTACAGCATCAGCTGTTGCTCAAAGTGACATTTGCACAAGTATCAGTTAATCATACTGAGGTTGGAGACCATTCAATGATATCATTTGACGCTACAGCTTTAACCGGTTCCAAGTGTGCATTTGTATGCGTCACTAGATTGTATAAATAGAAATGATAGAGGCTGTTTCAACCACATGTGCTTCAAATACACTTTTTGTCAGAAAGATAAAAGAGTGCACACAATAGTTCAATTTAATGTAAACTGAAAAGTTGATTTAGTACTTTTCAACAGAGATTTGGCAATAGTTGTCTTTTCTTTCTTTGTTCTTTTAACCTATATCTAATCAGGTACAAAGCTTCTCGTTCATCTGCTGTTCTTTCAGAGGGGAAGCTCTCACTAAAAGGAACTTGACAGTAAAGTTCACGGCCTTTGGAAGTTATTGTTCTTGGTGAGTGACATATTAACTAATGAACCATTTCAATGAAAATACCTGCTAACGCTTTGAGGGAAAGTCTGTGAAATGTTCCTCCACATGAGGAGTGTCTACATGTTAAAGAACTTCGTAAAGGTCAAAACCTTGTGCTGGCTCCAGAGGAACCTCAACGCTCTTCTGTATACAAATATTATCTATCCGCTAAATGGAGAACATCACTTTTAATCGATGTAGAAAAGGTCAGTTTGCTCTCTGTAATATTGGCCTGGATCTCTTTATATTCAACAAGAGATATGTTGTGCTTCACATTATAACCAATCCAACATTTTGACCTGAATGTGTCTTTGTCTTTACTGTACACTTTATTCTGCAGCTAAGTCCTGATGCAAAGTGCCTGTGAAGATGCAAATATGTGAGTTGTCTTACATTAGTTGCTCATGTTACATCTCCGCAAATGACTCCCTTTTCTCTGCCTTTATCCTACGTGTAGCTTTTTGCTTCATTTTTGGATCATATTAAGCATAGAAAAACAATCGGCACGTTCAAAAAAGAATAGAAAAACTCTTACTGTTACACTAATGAGGATCAGGAAGGTGTGGAAAGTGGGCACAGGTGGTTGAAACAGCTCAGACTGTGAAGACACCTTTATAACTGTAAGGAAGAAAAGGAAGTGTGAGGAGAATATCAAGTTAGAACAAATTACATGAAAAGCAGAGGTGGGAAGTAGTGGAGTACAAATACTTCGTTACTGTACTTAAGTACATGTTTCTGGTATCAGTACTTTACTCCACTACTTATTTTTCTGATTACTTTTTACTTCTTACATGTTGAACACTAATACCTGTACTTTCTACTTCTTACATTTAGAACACAAATACCTGTACTTTCTACTTCTTACATTTTGAACCCAAATACCTGTACTTTCTACTTCTTACATGTTGAACCCAAATACCTGTACTTTCTACTTCTTACATGTTGAACACAAATACCTGTACTTTCTACTTCTTACATGTTGAACACAAATACCTGTACTTTCTACTTCTTACATGTTGAACACAAATACCTGTACTTTCTACTTCTTACATGTTGAACACAAATACCTGTACTTTCTACTTCTTACATGTTGAACACAAATACCTGTACTTTCTACTTCTCACATGTTGAACCCAAATACCTGAACTTTCTACTTCTTACATGTTGAACACAAATACCTGTACTTTCTACTTCTTACATTTTGAACACAAATACCTGTACTTTCTACTTCTTACATGTTGAACACAAATACCTGTACTTTCTACTTCTTACATTTTGAACACAAATACCTGTACTTTCTACTTCTTACATTTTGAACACAAATACCTGTACTTTCTACTTCTTACATGTTGAACACAAATACCTGTACTTTCTACTTTTTACATGTTGAACCCAAATACCTGTACTTTCTACTTCTTACATGTTGAACTCAAATACCTGTACTTTCTACTTCTTACATGTTGAACTCAAATACCTGTACTTTCTACTTCTTACATGTTGAACCCAAATACCTGTACTTTCTACTTCTTACATGTTGAACCCAAATACCTGTACTTTCTACTTCTTACATGTTGAACCCAAATACCTGTACTTTCTACTTCTTACATGTTGAACACAAATACCTGTACTTTCTACTTCTTACATGTTGAACACAAATACCTGTACTTTCTACTTCTTACATGTTGAACCCAAATACCTGTACTTTCTACTTCTTACATGTTGAACTCAAATACCTGTACTTTCTACTTCTTACATGTTGAACTCAAATACCTGTACTTTCTACTTCTTACATGTTGAACTCAAATACCTGTACTTTCTACTTCTTACATGTTGAACTCAAATACCTGTACTTTCTACTTCTTACATGTTGAACACAAATACCTGTACTTTCTACTTCTCACATGTTGAACTCAAATACCTGTACTTTCTACTTCTTACATGTTGAACACAAATACCTGTACTTTCTACTTCTTACATGTTGAACCCAAATACCTGTACTTTCTACTTCTTACATGTTGAACACAAATACCTGTACTTTCTACTTCTTACATGTTGAACCCAAATACCTGTACTTTCTACTTCTTACATGTTGAACACAAATACCTGTACTTTCTACTTCTTACATGTTGAACACAAATACCTGTACTTTCTACTTCTTACATGTTGAACACAAATACCTGTACTTTCTACTTCTTACATGTTGAACCCAAATACCTGTACTTTCTACTTCTTACATGTTGAACACAAATACCTGTACTTTCTACTTCTTACATGTTGAACTAAAATACCTGTACTTTCTACTTCTTACATGTTGAACCCAAATACCTGTACTTTCTACTTCTTACATGTTGAACCCAAATACCTGTACTTTCTACTTCTTACATGTTGAACCCAAATACCTGTACTTTCTACTTCTTACATGTTGAACTCAAATACCTGTACTTTCTACTTCTTACATGTTGAACTCAAATACCTGTACTTTCTACTTCTTACATGTTGAACTCAAATACCTGAACTTTCTACTTCTTACATGTTGAACCCAAATACCTGTACTTTCTACTTCTTACATGTTGAACCCAAATACCTGTACTTTCTACTTCTTACATGTTGAACCCAAATACCTGTACTTTCTACTTCTTACATGTTGAACACAAATACCTGTACTTTCTACTTCTTACATATTGAACACAAATACCTGTACTTTCTACTTCTTACATGTTGAACTCAAATACCTGAACTTTCTACTTCTCTCATTTTCCAAACAGCTGGTTCCTTTAGTCTGAATGTGTGTTTGGTGGCGTGATCATTATTATTTAGAGTCATTGCGTGTCTATTGATTTGAACACGATCCGTGTATCCATCATTTCCTGGTCTTCTCTAAAGAAGAGGGACCAATGGAAACGTTGTCATGTTGCCGTTGTTCAGCATGGAAACATTCATTAGCTAACAATGACATTATTGTTCTATTAATATAAAGGGAGCTCAGTTACTCTTTAAAACAGCTGCTAGCTATGGGTACATAGTATGGGTACTAGCATTCAGCACTTTTGAGCTGAATGCTAAACATTTTGCATGTTTACGAGAAGAAGAAAAAGGTGTAGTGCTGCACAGAAAATAAAAGCACGACTGCTGTAGTTCAGAGGTTCCACAAGGTCTTCTGCAAAGGTCAAATTGAAGCACTTTAAAAACATTTTCAAGAGCATTTTCAAGCTTTTCTCACACCTGTCAGTTGTGGCAAATGATGTAATTATACATTTCTGAATATTGCATTTCTTCAACACATTATATTAGATGTTATTGGGCTTTAACCCTCCTATTGTCTTTGTTTCCCCCCCCCCTTACTTTGGTGTCCGCGGTCAAATTTGACCGGTCCTGTTTTAACTGCTAATACATTAACACAAAACCATTAATCATCACCAAATTTCATTTAACACCCTGTGTGTGTGTGTGTGTGTGTGTGTGTGTGTGTGTGTGTGTTTTATCTGATCCGGATGGTTACTAATTCCTTTTATTTATGGCGGTCAAACTGACCGGGAACACCATGGTGTTACAAAGTTGACTAAATCATCCAAAATGCAATGAAAGTGGTGATCAGCAATTGTATATGTTCAAATGTCTACTGTGAAGGATATCATAAAGCCTTAATGCAATCGAATGTAAAACAAAAAGGTTATGATTGATGAAAGTAGTAAATCGGTCAGATTTGACCCGAAGACAACAGGCGGGTTAAACAACTTAAATGTCTTGAAAACACTGAAGACTTGCCATCCTTGATAACCCTTAACTTCAAATATATAGTCCAATATTCAATCACTTAAACACTCACTTAAATAACCACTTTGAAATCTACTTTTGAGGAGGATATCCAGCGCCGATATGAACACTGATTATTTGCATACATTTCCAAAAATACAAAAAGGTACAAATATAATAACTCGAGTAAACACGTTTTTTTTAAGAATCTCATTTTTAATAAATCATCAAAACACATATCTACAAAATGTGTAGATCAATAAGACTTATGAACCTTCAGTACAACCATTGTAGATCTTATTTACAACTGCTGAATTATTACATTTGTTCCCCATGGAAACCATCAATAATCAGAGATTAAATCCAAATTACGTCGGGGAATGCTGAAGATATGCTAACATAGAAGTGGCAAATGTATACTTGGCGAAAATAACAAATGACTCAAATACATTTCACAGAATAAAGCAGAAACCTGCAACTTCATCAAATCGACTTCATCTGCGAGAGCCAGACATTTTGCCAAAACCATGTTAACAGCAACGACTGAAATCCACCTACAACATCAGTTCAACAACTTAACTTGCTCAAACTGTAAAATGTCAGACGTGATTTTTAGGTCAGCTTTCAAATAATTTCCTAATCCTTCTTCTGAAAAGCTCAAAACGAGCAAAGTTACGGCAGAAAGTAAAAGAGCAAAGGGTCCAATCTCAAATAAAGCTCGAGTCAAATGTGCAACGCTTTTTTGATGTTGTCTACGCACCCAGAATGCATAGTTCACACGGCCGTGAGACCGGGCCAAAACAAGATGTCTGAAATCTGGATAAAGGAGGAAGGGGGAGGGAATAGGAGAGTAAGAAAAGAGGGGTGAGTCGTGGAAGCTTCCTAGAGCATCAATGGGTGTGGAAATGCATAAAAAGCTGGGAAAAGTGAAATAACAATTCATACATTTGTTGTAATAAGAGAAAAAAACATGTCTAAATTAAAGGCCTTCGGTGTATTTTCATTACTCTCTAATAAGTAGGTTTCAGTGCTCAGATGTTTTTAGGGAATCCCAGACAGTGTGCATGAATATGTTTCGCTTTTCAGTTAAAGGGGCCATATTCTTCTCATACCACCTCTTTTCACCCTCTGTCTGAAACCAGAGCCCAGTCTGCTCTGATTGGTTAGCTGACTAGAGATGTCCCGCCCCTTAGCCAATCATATACAATGTGTCGGAGCACTAGCCAATTGAAGCACAAGTGTTACATAGTGACGTCACTGTGTTCAGGAAGTAAACAAAGGAGTCCAATGTGGGAGAGCAACTTCCTCTGGGGGGAACTTTGTGATTTGCAGACCATTTTCATGCACAAAAGCCTATATGACACACTACAGGAAACGGGAAGCCCCGAAAAGCACAATAGGGCCTCTTTAAGATATGCAGCAAACACGTTAAGAACTTCTTTTTTTTACAGAAAGAACAAAAAGGAAAAAGTGCATAATAATCAATAAGAACATAAAAGGGCACTTTGTCATTTTGGTGCTGTGTTTTGTTTCACTCCATAAATACTGCTACAGAGCCCAGAGAACAGTTTGAGTGCACGCCGCCCCCAGAACAGGAAGTATAAATGCATAAAACAAAGATGTAATCATCGCTGAGACTCCTGTGAAACTGTGTCGCCTCCTGCTGTCAGAGTTAGGTATTGCTTTGTCAGTTGAAGTGCATCAAATGATCTACCTCCTATCTCCTAGAATACCTAAAATGATGAGGCAATAAACAAAAAGGAATCTGCGAGCCCTTAAAACAAGCTGGTCTTACTGCAACCACATGAATACTTGGAGAAAGGCTTAATCTGGGCACACACACACACACACACACACACATTGCACATTAAAGTGTTCACAGGAGGAATGTATCGGCCAATGAAAATTCAACGGAAAGTAGAAAAAGGTAATCCAAGTAGATGATGTGATGGCACGACTGATTTCATAATCAATGATATATATTTACATGTTTACCTAATGTGGATATACCAAAGAGACCACCCACCCACCCACAATGTGGACTCTCATCACCTTGGATAACTATATATATATATTTGACAGATGATTATATTCAGAATTAGGAAGCCCATTTGGAAGAGTAAGTCTTTTCTGGAGGTATAATCTGGGCTACTTTAAGTGATAAGGATCGAATAAATAAGACTTCAAAGAGAGAGGAGGAGACATTATCATGAGCAGTAAAGTGGTTTGATCGTCTCACAAGAAGTCTTTAAAAAAAAGGCAATAAAACCTCAAGACGTATGAATCTAATTAGCAACCGTACAAAAAGAGACACAGATTTACTAGTGGAGGCCACAGGAGTTAGATTCACAGTTGTCAAGGAAGGGAGCGATACACTTTTGTTTTTCCTAATATGGAGAGAAGAGAGGAAGACGAAGTGAAGGAAGGTAAGAGGTGAGTGTGCTCTGTCCAGTTGTGTCCAGTGGGACTCCGTTAAGGCGATGGTGGATGCCGACTCTCGTCTCCTCACAGCAGCGAGCAGCGGAAGAAGCTGTTCTTCTTCGGCTGTTCTGTGATCTTCACTCCCTGACTGCTGCCCTGCGGGTTGTTGCCCTCCTGAGAGCCAGACAGAGGAGAGAGCTCAGTTACAGGTCCCCTATTAGACTGTTTTTCATCAATATGTTACAGCTCTCAGATATATACAAAACATGGCTCTGATTGGCTCCAAACACCAACCAGATCATTGCAGCATTACCCATAATCCCCTCTGTTTCCAAAGTGCTGATTCTCTGTCTGTTACTTTAGATGAAAATAAGGAGCCCCTCCCCACGCCCCTCTGAGAGAGATTTGGTTACAAAGAACACAATGGTGCTCTAGGAGGAGATTCAGGTGATAAGGGGGGGGGGGGGGGGGGGTTACCTTGGTTGGTGATTGGCTAATGGTTACACAAGACAAAACATCGTTATGACATCATAAAGTGGCCAAAATCTGATCCGCTCATTTTCAGACAGGTTTTTATAGAAATGGATCAAAAAGAGAGAGAATCTTTGTTCCTGAAACTTTCAGAGTCTCTTTCCACAGAGGGGACACATGTTGATGTAGAAGAGACATGAAGAAGAGGGGACACATGTTGATGTAGAAGAGACATGAAGAAGAGGGGACACATGTTGATGTAGAAGAGACATGAAGAAGAGGGGACACATGTTGATGTAGAAGAGACATGAAGAAGAGGGGACACATGTTGATGTAGAAGAGACATGAAGAAGAGGGGACACATGTTGATGTAGAAGAGACATGAAGAAGAGGGGACACATGTTGATGTAGAAGAGACATGAAGAAGAGGGGACACATGTTGATGTAGAAGAGACATGGAGAAGAGGGGACACATGTTGATGTAGAAGAGACATGAAGAAGAGGGGACACATGTTGATGTAGAAGAGACATGGAGAAGAGAGGGGACACATGTTGATGTAGAAGAGACATGGAGAAGAGGGGACACATGTTGATGTAGAAGAGACATGGAGAAGAGGGGACACATGTTGATGTAGAAGAGACATGGAGAAGAGGGGACACATGTTGATGTAGAAGAGACATGAAGAAGAGGGGACACATGTTGATGTAGAAGAGACATGAAGAAGAGGGGACACATGTTGATGTAGAAGAGACATGGAGAAGAGGGGACACATGTTGATGTAGAAGAGACATGAAGAAGAGGGGACACATGTTGATGTAGAAGAGACATGAAGAAGAGGGGACACATGTTGATGTAGAAGAGACATGAAGAAGAGGGGACACATGTTGATGTAGAAGAGACATGGAGAAGAGGGGACACATGTTGATGTAGAAGAGACATGAAGAAGAGGGGACACATGTTGATGTAGAAGAGACATGGAGAAGAGGGGACACATGTTGATGTAGAAGAGACATGGAGAAGAGGGGACACATGTTGATGTAGAAGAGACATGAAGAAGAGGGGACACATGTTGATGTAGAAGAGACATGAAGAAGAGGGGACACATGTTGATGTAGAAGAGACATGAAGAAGAGGGGACACATGTTGATGTAGAAGAGACATGGAGAAGAGGGGACACATGTTGATGTAGAAGAGACATGAAGAAGAGGGGACACATGTTGATGTAGAAGAGACATGGAGAAGAGGGGACACATGTTGATGTAGAAGAGACATGAAGAAGAGGGGACACATGTTGATGTAGAAGAGACATGAAGAAGAGGGGACACATGTTGATGTAGAAGAGACATGGAGAAGTGGATTTTTACGGGTCCACAGCACATAGAAACTGCCAGATGCTAACTTGCATATGTTGGGCAATTTGCACAATTAGCATTAGTTGGGTTGATTAGCATTAAATTGTATCATAAAATATGCAAACAATAGTTACAAATCGGTATAAACTGCAAAGTTGGGTCCTGAAAATGTTGTCTTTTTAAACACACAGACAACGAGGCCCAAAGTATCATATCTCATGTCTTGGTGAAACTGCCAGCTGTGAATAGTTAGAAAAAAAATAGATATGCAACTTATGCTAATTGTGCAAATTGCCCAACATATGAAAGTTGGCATCTGGCAGTTTCTATGTGCTATGGACCCGTGCTTTACATTTCTAACATAATACTTTGGTGTACTCAACATTTCCAGCTTCACAAGCAACTAGTATAGACTCCATCGAAATCAGTCGCATTGACCCGAGGACACATTTTGAGTTGTATACACTATTGGAAAGAGGAGATTCCTAGCGTTCTAATGATATCAGGATTGCTGTTGTACTCCAAATATTAAGCTAAATATGTCACATTCTATAATGACCATCACCGAGTCATCACTTCTCTGGAATCCATCGATCTGATTGGTTGTTAGCGGCTAGCAAATGATCAAAGTAGTACGGAGGGAAGATATTTTCGTTTGGATTACTGGTCTGGGGGAAGCTCGTGTGTGTGTGTGTGTGTGTGTGTGTGTGTGTGTGTGTGTGTGTGTGTGTGTGTGTGTGTATACGTGTGTGTGTGTATACGTGCGTGTGTTTGTGTTTGTTTCCCGGGGAAAACCCTCACGAGAAACACCCGCTGTGACGTTAAATTACTCCGTTCTCCGCTTGTAATTATGCCGAAGCTTCAAAGTTGTATTTATCATCTGAATTTGCCGAAACAAGTTTAATATTCTGAAAGCTAAGACTTTATTTATTTAAAATCAGATGAAAACAAACTGTACGGACCCTGCCGTGTTATCTGTGATTACTATACGCCTTACATTCATAATGTCAGCCGGAGGGAGGGGGGCGGCGCTGCGGAACAGCAGAGTGGCGAGTGAGAGCTACCATCTTCCCTTCACAAGCTTCAAACAGGTATTTATCGTGTGATTTTGGAAATAAAAGGTTCATATTCTGAAAGCAAAGACTTTGTTTATTTAAAATCAAACAAAACACCAAAAACTATTTTTTTACACAAATCCACGTTTATTTGAAATGAGCCGTTGAGACTTCCGACTGATTCCGATAGAGCGGGTCACATGTTGGAGACAGGTGGTGGTGGGATCAGTGCATAATAAGTATATTCTAGCCTTGAACATTTTTCCTGCGTAAGATTCGCTTGTTGGTGGCCAAGCGGAAGTTTTATTTTGAGTAAGACGTTCCGTTTTATTTCTTTCACTTAGCCGCTACATATCAGAACAGCAAAAGAAAAGTCACACAGCAATAGTTTTATTAAAAGGTTTCCATTTTCTTACCAGCTTCTTGTCCATTTTCGCTTTGATGTCTCTGGCGAGGGTTAAGAAGGCCTGCGGACAAAAGCAGATCAAAACAAATGTAATTATTGAAATTGAATCAAAGCATATTAAACGGTGGTTCTCTGATTATTTTGAACACTGTGGTTCTAATCTAATTAAGCCCGTCATTTCATTTGATTATTTTCATTGTGTTACAAGTGGCTGATAATCTGATTATAGTTCAGCTGACGGGCAAAAAGTAATACATACGAAAGGGTATTAAGACGTTCGACTTTGTTCTGCTTTTGTGCTCTACTTTCTGTCTTTCAGCTCTTTGTATGCAAACATCTGTCACAGAGAGGCTGGCTGTTACACCAGAGAGTCAGTGAAGTGTTTCCTGCTGCCTCTGTTATTCATCAGCTGATCCACTTCCTCAGTACAAGTGGTTTCTTTTTCTCAAGGCACACAGCATGTATATTTTCCTCTCGATACATGTAGTTGTGAGGTGTTGAGTAGAAGAAATGAAGTGGTACTATATTACGCTTTGTGTTTAACGGTCTTTTATCGGTTCTTTAGGAGAAACTAATTAAACAAAACTAACATTGCTAATATTTAAATGAAATAAATAATATTTCACATCAAAAGAAACAACAGTGTTTTAACAAATGGTATTAAATAATCTGATGACAGAACTGTGAACAGAATAGCTGAAATTTTAACAAACTAAATAACTCAGTTTCCTCTAATCATTAACCCATGATTGTATCATTTAGTTAACTGCGTGTGTTGCTGCTAGCATACATAACACCTGACGTGGAAACGTTACTCGTGGATGGAGCTACAGAGCTGCTAGAAAGACAGTCGAACCCGGTGCATTCCTCCGTCTGAATGTGGAGCACTTTTGCTAAATGTTTAGACTAAATGCTCGTGTTACCGCCCTTACATGCTAAACTCTTATTGCACTTTTGGTAACAAGCATTGTCCACATCGAGACGGCTAAAGTTTAACCACACCTCGGAGCGCTTAGTTCTCTCTGCCATCTCTGCAGTGTGTGTGTGTGGCTGCATGTAACACCTGCGTGTGTGTGTGTGTTGCCCCGCCCCCTCGCACACAGACGGGGGAGAGAGATCTCGTCTGGATTGGAAAGATCGAAAATACTGAAAATAATCATAGACGCATTTTGCAGTCTTTTTGCGTATTAAAAACGGAGTTGGCGACACTAAAACTGCAATATAATGTTTGTGTAGCAATAATTCATGACACATATTTTTTACATGTCTCCAGTACCGATAAAAAGACCGATAACGCCGGAGCTTAACGGTACCACGGTCTTTAATAATTCAGCCCCGGGAACCCTTTAATACCGCGGCTCGGTAAATATTTTTGTATTATTGTTTTATATATTCGAAATAAATCTAATCAAATCAAAGCCCACTACATAAAAAATACAGAAATGTGCAGTCAATTTCTTAAACTCTGTGACAAGAGTCTAAACGCACAGACAACGAGGACCAAAGTATCATAACTCATCTCTTAGTTAAGATACTTCCAGCTGTGAATGAATAACCGCAGAAAAAGCTTGAACTCACATTCTCCACGTTGATGTTCGCTTTTGCGCTCGTCTCCATGAACTTGATACCGTACTCGAGCGCCAGCTAACAGCAGGAGAGAAGAAGAACAATCACAGTCAGTATAATAGATCATAAAGTGTTAATTATTCTTATTCTAGTTCTAGGTACAGTCGTGTGTTTTCGCCCACCTTCTCCCCTCGGTCTTTGGACACCTGTCGCTTATCGTTGACGTCGCATTTGTTCCCAAGGACCATCCTCTCCACATCGGCTGAAGCATGCTGGGAAACATAAATGTGCATAGTGAACTAAGAGAAATGTAATACATTAGAGAATGCATTAGATTTATACACTCTCATTTTTTTGTATACATTTATAAGAACAAGTTCCTTGACAGTGAGTCTCACAACATGGTACATATACAATATCATACTGTTATATACAAATATATATAATCAAAAAGAACAATATACAATAGTAATTATCATCAAAAGCATAAGAAATATAAAAAATAGAGTCTAATTAGAGGCGTACAATATATTCCCTTTGCCTTACAGCAGGTGACCATTCTTCTAAATACACTTCCAGATGTATGAACTCTTTTTAGAGAAACATTGTCAAAATAAGACACACTAACGCGCACACTGAACAGACGTCACTTTCGTGTTTACCTCTTCGATATTCCGTATCCAGTTCTTGATGTTTTCAAAGGACTTCTCATTGGTTATGTCATACACTAACATGATGCCCTGGAGAGGAAAAGAAAAGACACATTTGAGAAGCCAGAAAACGATTAAATCATTGACCAATTATTCGTTATTAACCACTTAGGAATGTATTGCCTAATGTGATTATCTGCTGTTCATTTAACCCTCATTAGTGAAGGGTCACATGACTGTCGAGGGCCAAGTAAAGCATGGTACTTCAACACTAGGGAGGCATGATATCATGATATCTGGGGTCAATAATGGTACAAATATATTATCATGCATTCATAATCATCATCAGCTTTATTGAAGAGACTTCAAGACATACCACATTCAAATATACATTTAAAAAGGCAGTTATACTAATGTTTCCACAGATGTGACTGGTATCGTACAGTACATTTCGATAATGAAATTATTAACGATAAGTAGAGCCGATAATACACAACGTATTTGGTTTAATTTACCTAACGACCACAGCATCTACATACTTCAATAAAGAGTTACAACTTGCAAAACTATTTTTTTATTATATTTTACCCCATTTAAAACCAAAGGCAATACAGTTTACTTAAAGGTAAAACTCTAACACAGAAAGACCTGTCTATGCTGCCCCAGAACGCCTCGGTGGACATTTATCCTTTTCCATTTTTTTCTTTCTGAGTATCGTGACGTAACCATGCCCAGGTCCAAATGGACCAATCCGTGGAGCTCCTCTCACACACTAATCTTTTTCTCAGATTTCTGAACTCAGCCTGAGACAGTGAGACATCGTGAAACTCAGCCTGAACTGTTGTCTCGCAGACCCCACGCAGCAACCAGGAAACGACACCAGTAATAGAGCTGACACTGTCCGCTCCTCGTAGCAGCGAGCCCCGCAACGTCCCACCAACACGGCACCCAGACCCCACGCAGCATTCTCATCTCTTTGTCCTTACTGGTGTCATTTCCTGGTTGCTAACAAACGCCATTGAAACACATAAACACTGATGTTCCGCTGTAACGGTGGTGGACTCATCAGAACAGAGTGGGCGAGCTGACCAATCAGAGCACACTGGGCTCACAGGGAGGGGGGGGCAGGAGCTCCAACTAGCCGTGTAGGACAGAGTGAATACACATACTATACAGAGATGCTGTGAGAAACCAATGTGAGTTAGGAACATTGAACAATGTCATCTATTCGAGTAGACCTCAACAATGGAATCATGATCAGTAGAATGGCCATGACATGGGACCTTTAAGCGAAATATGGAATCACAGGCAACCAGTTAAACTTGAACTAAAGGAGAGGCTAGGAAAATTAGCATAAAACAATACACTGAGCGCACCTCAGATTACCCAGGTGTGTACAACATTAACAACAATACCAACAATGCTGGGTGTAGTTCGGGTAGAGGTGGTTGGTACAGAGCTGACACCTGAGATTACTGACACTTCACCTATTCTGATCCCAAAAATAAAACACTATGGTACGATGTATTAAAAGACAAAGCAACTTACCATGGCTCCTCTGTAGTAGGCTGTCGTGATGGTCCTGAACCGCTCTTGTCCTGCTGTATCCCTACATGTCAAAAACAACACTTAGTCTGCAAGACTTAGCTATATTTCATCTGTTCATTGAGGAAACAAAGGGGCAATAGCTTAACTCTGTGAAAAGTTCTTAATAAAATACATAATCAACTCCATAACTGTCTTATTTAAAGTGTTGTGTGCCGTTGTATTTGAGGACAATAACGACAGAATGTGTGAGATGCCTCATGCACAGCTGCTGCTAGTCATGATATAGATTCAATACTACTACCTTTAAACCTATTTTCCTTTACCTATTACAACTTTAAAGACACAAATACATAGTGTATACTGTATGTTCGCTTGAGAGACTTCTGAGTTGACAACACCAGGTTCAATGTTTTACAAGATTCCAGTCTTGTGAATATATTATAAGCTACTGAAGCATCCGTAATGCAGATGTTAATCTTCTCATGAGATGTACCTAATAAATTGTCATCTTAGTGTAATTACAATCCAACCTTAATCTTCACATACAAGTCAAACTGTAAAGTGAAAGTGGATGGTGATATCTTACCATATCTGTAGCTTGATCTTCTTGCCATCTAATTCTATTGTTCTGATCTTGAAATCAATACCTAAAAGGAAAAAACAAAATACATATAATTACATTTTATGAATTACTCCCATCCCTGTCCAAACACAGAACGACAACTTTGACATACATGAAACACATCTCCAGCCCTCAAAGACTAACCACAATTATGTTTAAACTTTTCTAGCTTTTTATATTGAAATGTTATAGTCTGTAAAATTGGTTAATATGTTCACTGACATTATTTGATCTTAGTGCTTTCTTTGCATTGTCATTGCTACTACCTCTGCTTTTATTTATTTGTTTCTATTTCTATTAATGCATTGAGAGATGCCAACGAAATGTCCTTCATCCTCTGTATGATCACAATAAAGATATTCTGATTCTCAAAAACAGTCACATTAATGATTGATTTTAGAAGCTTCATTACTGTTTTCTGTAACATTGTCAACCACAGTGCGAAGTACAAGCAGCTGGTCATATGAAAAGAATGATGGATATGTAAAGAGGATACAGTGTTGGAGGCGGGGCCCCGTTCATTCCTATGAGAGTTGCTCAGTGGCGCATGAAGCTCAAAATGAAGCGACTCATCCGGGGCCTTCTGCCCACCGAGCATGCGCACTTGAGTTTTTCTTAAGTCCCGCCTTCGGCTTTAGCTAATTTTCCAACTTTAAGACCCTAATGATTATATTATTTATTATACGCTGATTTACAGAAATCTATTTCCCAATGTAAGTCAATGGGGGCAACTGGGAAAGTATTTTTGGTCACTGAGTTGTAGTACCCCCGTTTGGCCATTCTTTAAAAAATCTGCATCAACGGCCGGCGCACTTCCTGGGGTTTTGATGAAAAGTGACACTGCTAGCTAGCTCACTGACAGCTTTGTAGCTAGGTAGTTTAGCTTAAAATAGTACGTTTAAAACACTGTAATAGCTTTCATTAGGTTAACAGCCTTACTGCTTATACATACACGGGATTTGTAAGAATATAAACTGGTTGAAATACAGTTGTCGTTTCCTGAAAAGCCCCTCCAACAAGCCGGCTTCCTGACTAGCCTCTACAACGAATGCTAAAAAGTTAGCAAGAAATTAGCATGACGGGATGGGCTGCTCCTGTACTTTTTCAGCAAAGACAGTCTTAATAAAACCACTTTTACTCACCTATAGTAGAGATAAACGTAGAGTTGAAGGCATCTTCTGAAAATCTGAATAGCACACAGGTCTTTCCGACGCCTGAATCGCCGATTAAAAGTAGTTTAAACAAGTAATCGTAAGTCTTCGCCATGTTATTAGCTAGTTTACTACTGCGGATATCCCGCCCGTCGTGAGAAAAAGAAACGTCACAACTAAGTGAGCTGTCCTTTTGGATAAATCAACTGTCACTCCGCTCTGTCGTCGTGGCTCCGGAAGTCCGCTGGTGAACCGCTGGGTTCGTTCGTTTTGATGTCTTGGGTCACCCGAGTACCAAGATTTGTTAATCAGTCTTTTGACAAAATAGTTCTTGTCTATGGAGGACGGAACCTTCCAAAAAAAACAATGCATACATCATGTTAATTAAAGGGGACAATAAATGAAAAATACACTTAAAATACAGATTACAAAATATGATTATCAATATATTTAAGTCATAGTAGATTATTTGGTAAATAATACAAAGATAAATTAAGATACAAATTCATTTGATTAATTAATGCCAATATTTGTTTTATTATTAATATTATTGCTTCAGTTGTTGGCAAATTAATGTATCTATTGAGTCTTTTATTTAACTATTTGTATTTTATCAGGTTCTGTAGGCCTACTCTATATCGAGGAACACCGGGGGTGTGTAAAGGTTTGCAGAAACACAACATAGGGGACCCTTAATGTTTGTATAAAATACATAAAATATTAAATATATAAAAGGTTTGGGTAAAACACGTAAACGTAGCCTATTTTTGTACACCCTGCTACAGTCCCATTAAGTTATTATATATTAAATAGTTGCACCATCTCAAAACAGAAAACCATGACGCTTTTATTTCGTAAATTAAGGGGGAAATTATCAACAGACGTTATTGCACCACTAAAATATAATGGCAGGTATTGAATATCATATAAAGATGGGAAGAAGGGAGTCTAAAAGTCTATTTTGAAAAATTGTATTTCCTTTACTGTAAAAAAGCTCTAGTGAGACCACATGTAGACTAATTGAATCATTGACTTTTTAATTGTACTGTTTACAAAACTAGTTTCAAAAATAATTATGTAAACTTGGACCAGTGCACCCAGTATAATCTGACGCGCCTCCCCTAAAGAGAGACCCCGCCCGCCTGCTCGGTGTCTTCCGGTCACAGAGCCACTTTACACCTGCAGAACAACAACAAACTCCAGCTGCTTTGAGACAGAGAGTCGCACTTCAAATATCACGTTATCTCTCGTATTTGCATTGGACGAAAAAGTGTTTGGAGCAAAAATGTCTGTAAGTGATTTTTTATTTTCTGGATAGAAACTTTAGGGCTTGCATGACAGCTTTGATTAACAAAAAACTTCTCAAATAGTCTGTTATCAATTGATAAGCAACACATTTTATGTAAGAACTATGAGAAAATATCCATTAGTTATGTAAATGTATGTGGTGTAAGGCGTAAATATGTGTTTGAAATGTATTTTAAAATAATTTCATGCATACAGTATGCATGTGTAGATTCCCAGAAATGATAGGGACTTTCCCAGACATGTTTATGCACTTGCTTTTAGTTTTACTTCATTTACCAGACTGTAGGGGGAATTACGGTGGCAAACTATCATCGCCTCGTCGTTCAATGAAAAAATAATACACATTTGATTTACAATAGCGTTAAAAACATGTACACTCAATCTAAACCCCTCTGACCTCGGTTGCAGGATAGCGATCTGTTCCACCCCAGTCTGGCCAAGGAGAGGAGCAGACACAAGAAGAAGAGGCTGGTGCAGAGTCCAAACTCCTACTTCATGGATGTTAAATGCGCAGGTGAGGACTGCAACACGCTGTAGATGTTCCTCTCTGATTAGGTTCAGTATGTGTATGATTAAGTATCTTATTGTCTCTACTCCCCAGGCTGCTACAAGATCACCACCATCTTCAGCCACGCTCAGACGGTGGTGCCATGTGGGGGCTGCTCTTTAATCCTCTGCCAACCAGCAGGGGGGAAATGCAGACTAACAGAAGGTAAAACATAGATATTTAAGTGCTTAGGATTTTTCTTGCAGGTGCACAAAGACCACCAGAGTTAGATAGATATGTCACTATGTGTACAGATGTCCATTTTCACTTTTCACTACAAATCAAATCAAATCAAGTTTTATTTATAGCACATTTATAAACGATTTTTGGTCGAGCCAAAGTGCTGTACATATAATAAAAATAGCCTACAGTAGAGACACTTTACAGCAAATACAACAGCACAGATTGTACAGAATATCAGTATGAGAAAAACGACACCCTCTATCCTTAGACCCTCACATCGTACAAGGAAAAACTTTCAGAGAAAACCCACAGTTTAAGGGGAAACAATGGGAGAAACCTCAGGGAGAGCAACAGAGGAGGGATCCCTCTCCCAGGACGGACAGACGTGCAATAGATGCCGTGTGTAAATCGAAGAGATAATACATTTGACAGCATATAGACCGAATGTTAGGAAATGCATGTGTCTGTAATAACAAGATGAATCCACAAGGATGTCAGCTACAATCCTGAGGAAGCCATCAGGGAAGCAGCATGACGAGACCCAAGGCAGGACCGCAGAGACAGGTTCAGCCACGACCCGAAGTCCACGACTTAATCCAGAACTCAGCATAGAGGATCCAAGACACAGGACTACAGCAAGAGGATCAGCCTCGACTCCGGATCCCGGCGTAGATATAGATACAAAACAAGAAAAAAGATTTGGCTGGGTTAATCGGAACAAGAGAATACACAGACACAGACAGAGAGGGAAAAGGTCATTGGATAAAAGTTATTCTTGATAACCCTCTAGAAAGATCTCATGAACTTCCCCACTCAATCTATCAAGACCCGAGCAGTTCTATTAGATATAGGATAAGAAACAGAGATAGGGAGCACAACAACACTTGTCACTTTAACTTATTCCGTACTTTATAACTTAGATGACCAAATATGTACATATTCTGACAGTTATTTTACTCTTATTTTTACTCATCTCTTTTATTATTATTATTATTATTATTATTATTATTATTATTATTATTATTATTATTATTATTATTATTATTATCATTTAAAAAAAATCTTGATTTGATTTATTTTTGATTTTATTAATCTGTGTGAATCTTTGCTGTCCTGTTTTTTCACGCTTACCCTGTTGCGGCTTTGTACAACTGAATTTCCCCTCGGGGATTAATAAAGGTTCACCTTATCTTAGTTTTATCCCACAAGCCATAAGACTGCTTAACTCCTGAGCTTGCACATTTTTATTTTTTTTATTGTCTTGAATATACTTATGTTGCATTGTTGGAGGAGCCTGTGACTTAAGTTTGTTATTGCATACTGTAGCTGTGCATGAGACAGTAAAGCCCTTTGAACCTTTGAGTAGATGTATGATAAAGATGACAAACCCATAAGTCCATCAGACGGGAGGCAACAATATATGAAGTCTTAGAAATTGATAAGGTAAGTTATATAGTAAACAAAAATATTAAGTATAGTGAGTGAGTGAATGAGGCTGTGATTTAATTTATACAATTAATAACCCTCAAATTAGCTAAGTCATTTCTAAATGGAGAAAGGTGGAGCTTGGGGAAATAAATTAACATAACCCATAGGCATTTATTACACATTAGAGGAGTAGACGCTATTTTAAATTATTCATTTATTTGTACTTTTTGGTTTATTTTGGTTTTCTTCAGTTTGCATCATTAGCACCCGCTCTAAAAAAATGTTATATGTAGATGTAAGTGATTCTGGATGCATGCGTGAGTGTATATTTACACATTAATATTTATGTTTGTATCACTTGGTTTATATGTTACAGAAAAACTTTAATTGCAAAATTAAGTAAATATATTGGACATTTTCCCCCAAAAGTACATGCTGTATATGAAATAGAGTTTGAACAAAATAAAAAGAGATAGGTATTACATTTTATACTTTGTTGTTTTGCCTGTGATGAGATATATTCAAAACATTTTTTTAATCTGTTTTCATTTAGGTTGTGCCTTCAGAAAGAAATACACCTGAGCAGAAATGTGCAAAACATCCATGAAAGGAAGCAGAAGGGAAGAATGGAGCATGAAGAAATGCGTCTAAGCCAAGTGTGTTAAATCTTAAGTAGAGAATCGGTATCGCTCTGAGGTGGAGGGACCTACAATGTAAAGTCAATGGGAGGGACATGTTATTGCATTGAACAGAGCAGGAGGGATGAACTAAATCATATACATGCAGAGATTCCATTTGTTTAACTGAATTATATATATATATATATATATCAGATTGATATGATGAAGCACTTAATGACCTCGTGGATTCATCTTCTTATTACAGACACATGCATTTCCTAACATTCGGTCTATATGCTGTAAAACGTATTATCTCTTCGATTTACACACGGCATCTATTGCACGTCTGTCCGTCCTGGGAGAGGGATCCCTCCTCTGTTGCTCTCCCTGAGGTTTCTCCCATGTTCCCTTTAAACTGTGGGTTTTTCTCTGGAAGTTTTTCCTTGTACGATGTGAGGGTCTAAGGACAGAGGGTCTAAGGATAGAGGGTGTCGTTTTTCTCATACTGATATTCTGAACAATCTGTGCTGTTGTTTTTGCTGTAAAGTGTCTCTACTGCTATTTTTATTTTATGTACAGCACTTTGGCTCGACCAAAAATCGTTTATAAATGTGCTATAAATAAAACTTGATTTTATTTGAATGAGTAGTACTTTTGTAATACTTTCAAAGAAAATATCAAATCTTCAAAATGCACAAAAAGTCCATGAGTCATGATTTCTGTAAAACATTTATTAGGTTGACATAGATGGGGGGGGGGGGGCGGGGGGAGGGTTGGTGAATAAAATAATTCAAAATGGCCTCGTGATGCGCTTTTCATGAACAAACAAAAATAAAGTAAAACATTTAAGAATTTATTTATTGTCTGTTATGTATGTATGTATGTATATGTATGTATGTGTGTGTGTGTGTGTGTTCTTTGGTCTTGAGAGTTTCCCTGGCACACAAATAAGAAGTGGTGTAAATGAAACAAAACCAAAAAAAGAAGAATCAGAGCAATACAATTTCTCAAATACCTAACATTATGCTACTATATACAATAAGTATCCATGGTTGATAAGACTTGATGTGAGCTTCCAGTGGTGTGGGCTTCAGCTCGCTCATGTAGATCAATATAATGTAAATAGTGGCTACATTATAGTTGGCAATGAAGAAGAGTGTCATGTCAGGTTAAGATAGTACAGCTTCACCGATTGATAATGTACATGCACAGCTCTCAGCTTCTGCAGATTCCCACACTAAAAATAGGGTATAAAACATTTGATGCACATAAATAAAATGCGTCTGCAACATGACGGCCTTAGAGATTTGCAAAAGAGGCATTAATGACATGTAAAGAAGTTGAGAGTGACTGAGCATGTACCTTGACCAGTTTATCAATCAATGAAAGCTTTCCATTTCATACTGTTGAACTCAGATTAATTAGAATAAGACAAGCACCCTTAAACCGAGTGTCTGTAGCTTCTGGTACAGCATGATTTAAAAAACTGCTGTGTAACTTCCCATCACCACTAGGTGGCACTTCAGAGCCAAGCTAATGTAGCCGGAGCAAAACCCAACACCATCTGAGCACATGCGTTACAATAATCAGACAGAGGCTTAATGTATGTGCACGTAAACATGTGAAATCGAGCCAGTTAAGTGGTTGAGTGACCAAATCTGAGGTTTCCTTGGGTGTGGAAATTGCGAGGTGTTTCTAAATAAAGTGGTCAAAGAAAAACATGATTTCTGGGGGGACAATTTCTGCAATCACAGGTGAGGAACAAAAGAAACTGAAAAATAAGCAATGGGGTCAAAATGACTTAAGGAAAAAAAGAAACAAATGTGTGGCTTAGAAAAGAAAAAAAAACATCAAGGGACAAGCATTAAGTTAATCCCCCTTCACACGGGGAATAGAGATGTTACAGCTCGAAACGTGGAATGGAGTCGAACATTAAAGGAATGTTACGTGACGATCTCATCCTCTCCAGCTTCTTCTCTGTGTTTATAAGCTGTTCAGTTCCTGCAGGGTCTGATCCAGGACTTGGTGCATGCCAAGATTCTCCTCTTTGGCTCGTGATAGTTTATCTGGAGAACAAGAGGAAAAGAGACGCGGTGAGACCTCAAACATCAGAACGTAACACTGCTGCTTTCATTCTGTCAAGCAGCATTCCATGCACAGTTTTACTGAACAGATGTTTTGCATAACTTTTAGATTAAAGTTGTGCCACATGCAAAATCCTCAACCACATCACTGTGCTCTTCATGCTTAGACTGCTGACTGTCATTCTCTGTTAGCACATTACAGTTTAGAGGATTTGTGAGCTATAGTCGTTGTACCAAAATGCTACCGTGTGATGTCAGTACACACGTTATGGGCTCACGTGAATTTATACTATCAGAAACCATCAGAAAAAGTGACATTTAAAACCAAAAGAGTGTTTTTAAGGGTTTAGGGGGATTGCAAACTGCATTAATTCACACAAATAACAGTAAATCTCACCTTGTCTCACAAACTCGCTGATAATTAGACGTAAAATGTACATTAACCATTAAGTGTCTTTGGCTTAAAGGGGCCCTATTATGTTGTTTCCTGTAGTGTGTTATATAGGTGTTAGTGCATTTAAAGGATCTGCAAAGGCTTCATTGTCTGTCTCACACACTCCTCCCCCGTGCCTTAAACACATCCATTGGACTCCTTTGTTTACTTCCGTAATATAATAGCATCACTATGTAACACTCGCTCCTATTGGCTAGCGCTCCGACACATTGTACGTGATAGGGTAAGGGACGGGACATCTCTAAGCAGTTGACTAATCACAACAGAGCCGGCCAGCTAACCAATCAGAGCAGACTGGGCTCTGGTTTCAGACAGAGGGTGAAAAGAGGTGCTGCAGCTCAGGCAGTATGAGAAGAATAAAGAGCTTTTTGAATTACATTAAAGCATGGAGACATGTCACAGTAGAGACACAAAATACAAATATGAAACACGAACATTAGCATTATACGCCTCTTTAAGTTATGATTCAAACATTCTACTTGCATGAATAAACAAGAATAGAAAGACAAAAGAAAGTAGGAAAGAAACATATTTTTAATGAATCATTTCCTGCATACTGAGACGGGACGAAGGCACGTACAGTACGATCAGAGAGAGAAGATGAGTTTGAAGCACTCGGCAGAGAAAGGGAAGTGAGAGGCAGCGAGAGAGTCAGAGCCTCTACAGAGACGTCATGTCATTGAGGGCATGGTCCAGCTCCTCGCTAATGGCCTTGTACTTCAGCTTCTGAGCGTACAATTCATCTGGAGGTCGACAGGAAGGTGTCAGGGACAGCGGCGACACAAAAAGCAGAAAGAATGAGAGGCGGAGGGAGGAAGGAGAAGACAAAAAAAAACAGGTCAGGCTTTTTAAAGATGCAGAAATGCAAAGAAGGAAGAATGATGCCGATCTAATTAAGCCGGGTTGAGCTTTATGCATTTAAACCCGCCCTGAATGTCTCACAAACACTCCAATAACTCAGCTTCCTGTGGTTAACAACTAAATAATGCTGACCTGAAAACACCTCAGCACATTGTGTCCTCTAGGAGCTTTCATGCAGTATATTTAGCACTCTTTTACACATACATATATCCAGTGTTGCTGAAGTAGGACACTCCTTCTGAAGTCTATGTGAAACTGAGTGTAATAGTGCATTAAGATGGATGAGGATTAGAGTCTCTGACCTGCAGGAAACTCACAAACTGCCCCCTTGTGTTTCGTCAACAAATGTTTCCTGGTTGTTCTTTTAAAGCCAGTGAATAATAGCCTTTGACTTTAGGTTGTGTTGAAAATATGTGTATTTTGGTGCTAACAAAGGGTTGCAACACCAAGTGAGTGCTGCTGATCTCATACCTTCCAGATCATCAATGGACTTTTCCAGTTTGGCCACTGTCCTCTCTGCAAACTCTGCACGGGTCTCAGCCTGACACACACACACACACACAATATGTTACACAGTGAATTCAACAGATAAGACTACAGGTTTTCTTTATCTTTCAAATATTAATAGATGCCATGTTTTACGAACTACAATTTCAATGCATGCAGATATTGAGATGGAGAAGAATAAGGACTGGCTTACATTATCAATTTAGGAAAATATAATCTAAAGTATGGAATGAAAACTTGTTATAGTCCTGTCATATTTGCCTTCTGAGCTGCATCCAGCTGCTTTCTATCTCACTCTGTGTGCCCACATTGGCATGAAGTGTTTTTGAGGTGGTGTGTGCTGCCTGGATGCATGTGCGTATATGGCATTTGCACTTGTTTGAGATATATCCAGCAGAGGCAAATAGATAAGCTAAGGGATTGAATCCAGAGACGCTGCAGTTACATTGTACGTGTCGGAGACCACTACCCAACTGTGATGCTTGTCCCAGTGTTTTTAAACGTGCATTTCCACATTGATGGTTTGTTTCAGTCTAAAATCATGCAGTGTATGATCATATAGTGTGATCAGTAGAATCAGGATCTCACCTCCTTCAGTTTGTCAGTCAGGACTTTGATCTCCTCCTCGTACTTGTCTTCTTTTTCTGAGTACTGTCGACATACAGAGAAAAACACATCAGTGGCAGAAACACAAACACATGCTTTTCCCTACATATGCTGGTAATTAAAGTTAACAAAATGTATTTCCCGTCACTTCTTGCCATAACGTTTAAACTCACCAAAATCTAAAGACAGATAAAAGGGGAAGTGGGACTCAAAATCCTATTATTACCACACACATACCATGTATACATCACTTCAGGGGACATTACATTGACTTACATGCATTTCCTGGAGACTTATCCTAACCTTAACCAACACATGCCTAACCCTTACCCTTACCCTTAACCCTTACCAAGTCTTCACCCTAAAATTAATGATTCCCCTCATGGGGACCTCCATTTTGTCCCCATAAGGGAGGCGAGTCCCCACATGTGACTGTGTAAACAGATTTATGTCCCCACAAGTATAGTAGTCCCCACAAGTGTCTCTACTGTAGGCTATTTTTATTACATGTACAGCACTTTGGCTCGACCAAAAATCGTTTATAAATGTGCTATATAAATAAAACTTGATTTGATTTAGTAATGCTAGGCCACACACACTCATAATTGCAGCAACAGCTATGGCACCACTCCCTGTGAGGAGCGATATGTAGAGAGGGAGGCGGAGGTGTTGCCGGCCTGGGAACAGCCTGTGCTGCGATGCACGGAGGCCTGGCTGAACAAAGCGGAGCTGGCGTGTGCTGCTGCTGCAGAGCGGTCATGAGGCGGCTGGCATGCTGTCACACTGCCTGTCCGTGCCTGGGAGGAATTTAATGTAGCGAACAGGAGGAATGTGCTGCAGGTCTCGACTGGCTGCTGGTT